GAAATCCTGTCGAGAACGAGGTTAGGCTCAACCAGTCGTAATCGTTACACTGGACGTTGTGGCCTACTACGGATGGTTTTTTTCAGACTGGTTCTTTCGTTACGGGGGATGGAAGGCGCAAGGCAACTCGAAGGCGGCAAGGTTTGAATGAACCCCGATCGAACACAATTGGAATCGAGCGAATTTGAAGATCAAGGAACAGACAGGAACAGAGGAAGGGATCCGAAAGCAGACGGCGTAAAAGAGTGACATTTCAAGCACACTCTCAGACTCCGTCTCAGAAGCTAGACACGAGACTTCGAAGACGTGACTCAAAAACGGGTGGTCGGACCAAACAGCAGGCCAAATACTGCGAGTCGGCATGCCAGTCTTACTTACGTGGGGAACAGGTCGTGAGGTCTATAAAGTTAGTGTTTCTGACTTCGCCATTCGTAGGAAGAGCGTCCGTGAAAACGTTCGGACAGCCGGAGAACGTCCGAATTTGGTTGAGGAGCGTGGTGTAAGCCGCCAATGGCAGAAGGCTCGCGTCAAGTCCTGTTCGGAGAGGCCGCGGGATGACGTCAGTCTTACGTATAAGGTAGCGCACCGACCTTAAACTAAGTTGGCCTGCAGGAACCCAATCAAGTTCTCGTGCCAACAAAGCCCAACATCAGAAACGGGTCCATCCATGCGCCAGATTAGAGCAGTCAGCTTGACGTTTGGATGACGTCGAGCAGCAAATGCGCAAATTACCTGGAGACGCTTACTGCTTTGAGCCCCCCAGTTTGCAAAGCTTTCTTCAATGATCTCGGCACTTCCCGATCTAGTGAAGAACAAGCTCAACCAAACAGTATCACAAGCAGTAACCAAGCCCTCGACCTAACCAAAAATCTAAACCAAACGTTTACACGCTCCGCACTGGCACCCACCCTCACCCTACTAACCCTAACCCTCGATCGGGCTGCTAACCCTACCAACCCTAGCTGTGAGAACTGACTCCGCACGTCCCAGCACTGGCCAGCTCTCATTGTTCACCGAACTTACTTTTCCTAGGGTCGGTCAGACTTACCCGCATCGAGGATCCAGAAAATATCGTCCGGGGCGGTCGCCTTGTCCGCAGCAAGCGCAGCAGACGCCCCGGGCGCAGGCACGCCGTTGACCAAAAAATCCGCCGGGGGGGGGGCGAGCCACACATCATCGACGAACTCCACAGGAGTGATCGGTTGATCGGTAAACGAGAAGTCGTACGGGGTGTTGCCCCCGGGCTTGGTTGGGACCCCCCCCAGGAAGAGGCTCCCGCCGTTGGACCCCCCCGAAGCGAGGCAGATCGCGAAAGTGGCAGTGGGCACTGCTCCAACTTGCTTGAGCTGGTTGGGAAGAGACCGGGCGTTGGGGCTAAAGCCCGCGACCCCCTCCGCGCCGCTCATCTTGCTCCCGGGCTGCAGAATGCTCGTCCCGAGCAGGATTTTCTGCCCGAGGGTGGACACCGAACCGATGGAGAAAGTGTCGAGAACGGCGGGACCGGCCGCTAAAGCGAGCGTCCCGAAGGACGCCCCGTATTGGCACTGAGTGGGGGGTAGGTTCAGATCGTCGGAGCAGCCAAGGTTGAACGTCCCGGCGACGAGGGTTGGGCATACGGACTGGCAGTCGGGGGCAGTCACCGAGGTCAGGGACAGACTCGGGTAGTACAGGGCGCCAGTGAAAGGACAGGAAGTATGGCCTCCGTTTGCGAAAACAGCGTTTTGTGCCCCCAGAGTTCCGCAGACAGTACTCCCCGGACATGGGGAGCAGTCTGGGCCCTGAACCCAGGAGAAGGTGGCGAATATGTCGGCAATCACGGGAATGCTTACCGGGGGGGTGCCGACCTGCAAGGGAAAGAGGGGAAGGAGAGGGGGATGAGGTGACAATGCTGGACAATAACCCTAAAACTTCGAAACCGTAAATATGAAATCTTTGCTCCCTTGGTGGTTGGGGGAGAGGAGTCAGAAACTTGGGTCTGAAAGACCGTGGATTATTGTTTGACCTGTACCGAAATGCTGCTCTCCGTATGTGGGGTACCATGCATGCCAACCTGCAGAATTGACGCGGAGAGAATGTGAAGTTTCGTGGAGAGAATGTAAAGTTTCAAACGATTGCAACTTGAAGCCCTTGATGATATGGAGCCTGAAAATCCAAGCAGAGGTGGAGAACTGATCAACGGTGACCGGTTTATGCCCATTGGGGGGTTGCCTGCAACCCTTAGGAATTAAAGCCGGGGGTGTAAGTTGGGTTTTGAGGGTTTGATATCTGACTGACAAAAGAAGTTGAGCTTTTCAAGAAAAAACCAAGTGAAATCCACGTGAGTACTCATGCAATGCAGTACTTGGTGCCAGTAAGGCGGCAAGTTAAGTCATCAATATTAATGCACTCTTGAATTGGATAACTTCTGGACAAAATGAATTAAGCTCTGCATAGTTCGGCTTAGCTACATTTCCCTGTGCTTAATAGATTATAACCACTCAGGGTGACATGTTGACAACCACCTGCAATCCAAACACCCAATCAATGCCTGTTCCAGTTGCAATATAAGTGTTAAAGCTCTGCCGTGACCCAATCTAGCTGCCCTAGCATTTGTTTTTCAGAGCACCGGAGGGGTTTTGTTTACCTTTTAACTAGTGTGAGACTGAATGCTAAAACTTGGCTACTAGACAGTTGCTTGCGATGACAGAAATGCCAATGTTCACATCTTTTGACTGGAATTGAAATCTCCAAGATCATAAGATAGATAGGAAAAAGTTGCAGCATGAAATCCCGTTCGCTCGTTGTTGAAATATGTTGGCAATGACAGATGGGACTGCTGTCTGCCTTTTCAATGTTGAAGAAACCTACCAGACAACTGTCATCACTGTCAGCTACCTGATCACAATGAGGTTCGCAATATGAGTGCACTCACATTGTACAATTGTGCTTACGGAAGCACGATGAGCCCTAGTACAAGGTATCATATATATACCAGGCTCACTGCTCAGATTGGAAAACAGCTCAAACCCACCTTAACCTCCACCGTAAAGCCACCCACTGGCGCGCTTGGGCCCACAATCGGGACCCTTGCAGCAGCAAAGGAACGGACATTAGGATCCGAAACTCCCCCTCCAGCGACTCGGAGGCTCTGGACGAAAGCCAGCTTTGCGTCGAGTTGCGCAAGGGTGTCTGCAAACGACAGCGCAATCCTGCTGACGGGCAGGGGGCCCGTCGATGAGGGGCCTTGGAGAAGAAGTCTCCCCCCTGAAACAGGGGCGGCAGTGACTAGCAAAAGCGCGGCGAAAAGAAAGGCGAAGAGTGGCACTGTCTGCCGGACGGGCGCCATTGCGAGAAGGCGGGCGAGTGTTCTTGCTCTTGTTCCTAGTAGTCTTGAAGTTGCGAATGAGGACCGCTTGACAAAAGGCTCAGACCTTAACGTCGATGTGTTCTAGTACTAGGCCGCAGTTAAATTATGATTTAACATATAGCCTCCAAGAAATCGAAGGCAAATGAAGATCGGCTCGCCTAGCAATGTAGCACGGCAGTTGAGTCCATGAGCTCAGTTGAAACACTGCAGCTAAAATCACCACTAGGTAATCATATTGTTTCTGTGTACCCCGTTGGCATGCCAACCACCTAGTTGGCACAAACCTCGTGCAGATCACAGCTCGTGTCTCCGTTCGAGTTGACTCCCATTGACCTGTGACCCCATGCAAGGCCGCCGACAGCAGCCAGCTGCCCCTCTACCGTCCTGACTCCTACCTACTACTATCTACTCCTACCTACTTCTAAATATCAGGTAAATATCCTAATACCACCACCACCCGCCAAAGGCAGCTAATTAACTACCGAATTAGCGGTTCCGACATGATACATCGTCCCAGCCTGATGATATTGGGATCCATGACGTATGCGTACGTGACTGCGCCCATAATTCTGGAGTAGATGTTACCGGCCGGGAGCGAGACACCGTAAAAGCTGTTGATCTACCACTCTCGGAGTCACCGGCGAACCGGCCGTGACAGCTAGTGTACGTCACTGAACGTCGTAGTGACTCAGAGCCTCACATACTAGTAATATACGGTACACAGCGCCGGGGAGCAGATTCGTGCTCGGGAGTCGGTACATTCGGTACCTAGAACCATGCCTATGTGTATCCAGATCATCCTGTTTTAATACGGCAACCGGTTGTCCTCTGAGGCTGAGGCTGAGCTCTCCAATCGGTGCCGCGTCTATAGACTATGAGTCACATGTCGCCATCGAGTTGCCACCAATCAGTCGCGAACGATGAACGGCTGCATTTTGACAGCCGTAGTTCCCCACGCCAGTGCACGTTGACCGGATTCTGCGGCTTTCCATTTTTCAACAGAATGGCGCTTGACTGATCCATGGCGAGACAGCCAGCCCCCTCCAGTTGAGTCCGACATCGGAATGACACACGTCACCGACTCTTTCTAGTCTCTTTGAGTTGGAACTTTCGGAAGCTCATCTCACGGAATGGTTTCTCTCCTGGAGGAGCCGGGATTGGCTTGAACGCGCGACCCACTA